ATCATGACCCCCGGGGCAAGGGTGGGGCCAAAATGGCCAACCCAAGTTTTAAATAGGAATATATAGGAAAAATCTTTAATAATCTTCTTCTCCAGAACCACTGGGCTAGGAAAGATGAAACTCAGGTGGAAGCATCCTCAGGTAGTGTAGGTTCAAGTTTGTTCAAATCATGACCCCCGGGGCAAGGGTGGGGCCAAAATGGCCGACCGAAGTTTTACATAGGAATATAAAGGAAAAATCTTTAAAAATCTTCTTCTCCAGAACCACTGGGCTAGGAAAGATGAAACTCATATGGAATCATCCTCAGGTAGTGGAGATTCAAGTTTTTTCAAATCATGACCCCAGGGGCAAGGGTGGGGCAAAAATGGCTGACCCAAGTTTTACATAGGAATATATAAGAAAAATCTTTAAATATCGTCTTCTCCAGAACCACTGGGCTAGGAAAGATGAAACTCATATGGAATCATCCTCAGGTAGTGTAGATTCAAATTTGTTCAAATCATGACCCCCGGGGCAAGGGTGGGGCCAAAATGGCCGACCCAAGTTTTACATAGGAATATATAGGAAAAATCTTTAAAAATCTTCTTCTCCAGAACCACTGGGCCAGGAAAGATGAAACTCATGTGGAATCATCCTCAGGTAGTGTAGATTCAACTTTTTTCAAATCATGACCCCCCGCCCTGGGGATAGGGTGGGGCCAAAATGGCCGACCCAAGTTTTACATAGGAATATATAGGGAAACCTTTTAAAATTTCAAAGCTATGATTAGTGATACCCGGGATATTTATATGGAATCATCCTCAGGTAGTGTAGATTCTAGTTTGTTCAAATGATGAAGGCCTGGAAGGGTGGGGGGGAGTAAATTCAAGCCCGATGTGCTCAGGTGAGCACTGTGGCCCCTGGGCCTCTTGTTTTATAAACAATTGCTTAGAGAATTTAACTTCTAAAAAAATTCTAAAATAAGTAATATTGTTAAGAAAATGAAGAGTGAGGGAGAAGATTATGTATGGAACAGTGATTGATCTAAAAAAAAAACAAATACAAGTCTGTGAAGAGGGCATAAACATGAACCTTAAAAAATTCCAGAGGTGGGATCAAATGCCTAGGAGAAGTAAGCATCCCTTGTCAACTGGTCTCACCCACCGGGAATCCTATGTACATGGAACATTCCTTATTCCAATACAGTATAGATACAAAGATTTAACAATTAGAATGAAAATTGTTATGAGATTTGTGATAGTATATGTAGAACCATTGAGGATCAGTACAAACATTCTTTAAACAATGGTTTATAGAACTACAATGAAACATGCTACAGTAAAACACGTTTAGTACGAACACGGATATAGCGAATTCACGGATATAGCGAAGTTAATCAGGGTCCCCAGCAAAAGTCTTAACAAATCTTTTTAAAATTTTACGGTTATAGCGAACTCTAATATAACGAATTTACGGATATAGCGAACTGATTTTGAGTCCCGTTGAGATTAAATATAATGAAATTTACATCTTTTATAACGAACTTTCCAACATTATAAAAAAATTGAAAAATTTAATTGATTCAATTTACTTTTAGCATTTGTACATAGAATACAATTCATAATAAAACCTTAGTTATCGAAGATGTGTTTTATAATATTTGCTTCCCTAACATATTTCATCGTAAAATCTAAAGGAAAACACGCATATTGCGAATTCGCTATAATGGTTATACGAATTCGTTATACGGATATAACGAATTACGGATATAGCGAAGTAAATTCACAGGTCCCCAGGACTTCGCTATAACCGTGTTTTACTGTAATAACAAATTGCCAGGAATGGACAATTTGTCTTCATATTAAGCAATGTTTTATCAATCAAATTTACAACATGTAATAAAGTCTTTGGGAATGAAAATCACTTCGGTGTAAATCATTATAAACATGTTCAGTATAACTGAATTTTACTGTACAAGAAAACATTACACACAGTTGTCTTCTTTGTTTTGTAGTTAATTTTTGCCTTCCTCAAAATATCAAAGAAGCATTCAGATGGCATACACAGTGGAGATAGGGGCACAGTAGAGGATGCTGGGAAGATAATGTACACTGAACCGTTTGATTTGTTGAAAGCCGAGGACAGACTAAAATTAGCAGAGTTTATGTTATGGTTAGGAATTGCTCAGGATTCAGTCAAGTTTCAGCTTTTTTGATATGTAGACTTGAGATTTTTTGGGGGGGGGGGTCATATTTGTATGAAGACTACATATATGTACTTGTATAAAATAAAATATATGGAGGGTATATGTTATTGTGTTAATTTTAACATTTGTCTAAAGAGAGGTATTTTCAGGGTGTGAAAAAAAGTTTCGAGTCTGAATTTATTTTTATTTTGAATTATACGTTTTAAAAATATTTTCAATCATCTTAGAAATTCTGGATGCAGTACAGTCAAGAATATGACCAGTATGAGTTCTTACCGTGATTTTGAAGCAGGAACAGTTTTTAAGTCTTTTTTTTTTTAAACAAATCCAAAATAATTATAACCTTACATGGACCAAACTATAGAAGATGCTGAATCTTGGGATGTGCACTTTTGGAACATTTATTAGGAATGCGAATTTGCTACTCATATTGATTATTTGGTTGAGATGATGGTTTGCATGAATATAGAGAGCAGCTAGCCATCTATGAAATTTGTTAGTTTGCCTTAAAGTTTCTGAGACAGACTGGAGTTGCATTGAAGGAGTACAGGTACAATCTCATCAAATGCCTCTGGGTACACAGAAGTACTTTAAAAATTGTGAAAACGGAAGTCATACAAGTTTTTATTCATATGGAACTGTCATATGGAACTGTCACCTGTGTTGCCCAGTGGTTAGAGTATCTGTTCCAAGACTCGCAATGACTGGAGCTGATTATTGCGACGCACGTTCCAATCCACTGCAGGATGTGGAAACCAGTCCTTCTGATCCAACCATATAAACAGAGTTCACGAATAGCAGTAGGTGTTGCCAGGAAAATAAATTCAAGTCACCAAGTGACTGGTACAAATTAACAAATAGTTAAAAGAGAATCACTGGCAATCACATGTTAAAATTTTCTTTTGAAATCAAAAAGATCAATTGTTTGTTGTGTAACGTCTATGGAACGTCAAATTCATAAAAATGAGCTAAACATAGCTTCACAGTGGATAAACTAGGTTTATCGGTTGTAAACTATAGTTTACAGACTGTCAACTAGAGTAAACAAAGTTAATCTACATTTTACATCTGTAAACCATAGTTAACTCGATAATCTATGTTTCACAACCGTAAACTATACTTTACACCGAAAACAATCATTTGTGATTGCAAAGCCTAGATGATAAATACAGCTTACAAACGGTTAACTATAGTTAACGATCTAATAAATATAGTTTCACGATTTGTGAAACTATGATTAACAACTCTTAACTATAGTTTACGATTGTAAACTATAGTTTACAAACGTGAATCTATGTTTATCAACAAAATCTATTGTTAATGCTTCATTACAGAAAGATAAACTTAGATTATCATTCGTAAACTATAGTTAACAACCGTTAAATATAGTTTTACAGATGATAACTATAATTAACGAATCGTTAACTATACTTAACGAATCGTTAACTATAGTTTACGGTTTGTAAACTATAGTTTACAGTCGATAAACCTAGTTTATCAATTGTGAAACTAGGTTTATCTCATTTTTGTGAATTTGGCGTGCCATAAACGTCCCTCTCTAGAATTTTTCACTCATATGGAGACACCACCACTTGCCGGTGGAGAGCTAGAAATTTTGTTCTATACTCGGCACTCGGGGCCATTGAGCAGTGATGGATCTTTCTTGTGCAAGCACCTACTGAGACACGGGACCTGGGATTATACGGTCTCATCCAAAGGACCGGTCTCCACCTCCCACAGTAAGATTCTTCGAACCTGTGACCCAAGGATATACAGGTACTCCTTACTTCGCGACTCAAAAGCAGACACAATTACTACTGAGTCACGCGGGCAACAAAAAATCATGAAATATCAAGTAAGTTGTAAAAAATAAAGGAAATACTATATCAAAGAAATTTTCAGTGTTGTAGACATTTTATTTTACAACCAGGGTGATAATAATACACTGTAGCTGTCTCCATCAAGAAAAGAAATAAAACAAAACTAAAGAACTTGTGTCAGATATTAATGCAAAAAGGTGATGTATTAAACATAATAACAAATCAGTACTTTATGTTTATAAAAGAAAACATTGTATTTCCAGAAAATATTTTCTTGCATTTATATGGACAATGCTTAACATACCCAAAAGGTTAAACATTGGTTCAATTTGACATTTTTGTACAAATACATTTGCTATAGGCTCCTATTAATGTGTTCTAATTGAGTCAAGTTAAAATTAAATAAAAACACAGCACCAACAAATCAAAGCAAGTTATACATTTTTATTTTTTTTTTTAAAAATAAACAATTAATTAATGTTTGTTATCTCATACTGCCTTTACTTTAACTTCACTGGTACAGCAATAGCTGCAATAATGTAGCCCTCTCCGATTTTTTTTAATCTGATGTTTTCTGGAAAAAAAAAAAAAAAAAAAAAAAGGGAGAGGGCTACATTATTGCAGCTAGTACAGCAAGTAAAACAAAAAATCTTTAATATTTAAATTTACAAAAAAAGGCTAATAAAAAAAGGCTTTTGGGATTATTTCCAAACAACTGATAGTATTTTTCTTATTATATATATTGGTAACTTTACAGATCGAGGCAAAACAACACCAGTTTTACATTAACATTAAAATTTTCGCATCAGCTTCTGTCTGTCCATGCAGCAATGCATACCAAGGAAATCATGTTTAAACATGATTTAATTTATACTTCAACGATAACAATTTTTTTATTTGAATTTAATTCGTTGCTTCATGAAATGGACAGTCAGGGATACATCGTTTTTCCAAGCAGTTTGCCATTCAATGCAATACTAACAGCAGATATATTTTAATTTTTACTTAAATGGTTGCTAAAACCTGCACCATTTTTTACACATTAAGCCACAAAAACCTGTACTAAGTGAGATTCACATCCTAGATGTTTCATATCAGTGTGTATCAGTATATTTACTTTCTTCATTGAAAAAAATAATCCCTGACATATATTTATGTTATCAGACAAAATATTTATAAATATTTCTTTACTGCAAGTAGCATACATGTATATACACCAGGAATTTCTATGCAACTGCTGGGGGGTCTACTACATCAGTTACATGCATCGTCATATTTTACAGGAAATGTTTTTTACATTGTAACTATTAAATCTAACATATACACACAGTACACAGGTAAAAACATTATTTTTAAAATAAAAATATATTCATCTAGCACTTTTTTTCTTTTTAACATGAACAAATTGGAACAGTTCTAAAAATCAACAATACAATATATATCTTATCTTCTCTTCTTTAACAGACACACATACCATCACAAGGAAAAAAAAATTCTAATAAAAACACACAATTACATGTAGCAGTTGTTCAAAGCTCCCTAACTGCATCACTGAGTAAAAACCAACTTCTCTTAGGGGTTAGTTACATGTATCTGCCCCTGGCACTATTGTTAATTTTCAGTGTCTCTGGGGGGCGAAAAATTAATTTTATCGTAGAAGTTCTTAGAAGAATTTTACGTCGTCTTTGGATCCTTTAGACTCCGAGACAGATGAAGCAGAAGTATTTGTAGATAAATCACTCTCAATTTTGTTGAAACTTGGCACACTGGTTATACCTGAAAAAATATGAAGAATTTATTAACAATTTGCTGTTCAATATCATTTGTGCACAAGACATGTCTAAGCTATCCCATATTTCTTGTTAGCCTTTTTGAGAGAGTCATATATTAGTACTTTTTGTCATGTTGGAGTTTAAATACATGACCTAAAATAAGTCGGTATAAAGTATTTGAAAGCTACACATAATTATGTGTAAAACATATGAGAAACCTATGTTTAAAATGTAAGTGTAGAAGTTCGGGCTTTACGGACCATGGATATCGGCCTAGATAGCTCAGTGGTTAGAGCACCTGACTAGTAATTCAGGAGTCCCAGGTTTGATTCCAGATTTTCTTACATAAAAAATGAATCTTTGAAATTCGTGGTTGGATATGATTTTATCCAACTCTTAACATGAGTCACAAGTATGTGCCCTCGGTCGATATACTACATGTATCTTCAGTCAATGTTTGTCATCCTGGGTCATTATAAATGCATATTGACCTACACTTGAGTCCATATTTGTACAATAACAAACCTGTAATGGGGGCCAGTAGGTCAGATTTAGCTACGTCTACAGCATTGATGATCCTCATCGTGTTGGTTGATCCAGATCCAGGCTTCCAGCCCGTGATGATGATAACCGGATCACCTTTCTGGATAAATCCACGATCCGTTCCTATCTGGATTCCCTTGTAAATCCGACGGTCGACATCCACTGTCCACTCACTCATGACGGGATCTGGAATATTGATACACACCATAATTTAAAAAGTTTTAATTTTATTTTTTCAATTACTTATTTAAAAAACAAGTTTAAGAAGTAATTTCACAGTTGTTTTTAAAAACATGTAAAACTTTCTTTTCATAACAATTAAAACTGTGAAACAATTTTATATTATACTTCCGAAGTTAAAACATTTTTTTCTAAAATATTTTTCATCAGTAAAACCACTGTAAAAAGGAAAACTTATGCATAACTGCCTTGTTTACAAATTAACAATAAATCAATTGGCCATCTTTAAAATAATGTTTGCTTGCCAAGCTCTCTCCAATCGGGGCAAAAAAAGTTGAGTCCATAGGTGTGTGGGGGGCCATTTTAGTTCACAGAAAATTTTGGAATACATGTAGCATTTTATTAAGAAAAAAAAAATGTTTCCTGGAGGTTAAAAAAAATTTTCAATTGGGCCCTTTTTAGATCTGAAAAAATAGGGCAAACTAAAAATACTTTAAAGATGGCCATAGCCGTTTGAATCTGAAAGTGAACTGTGACAGATATCAAAACAAAATACCATTCTCATACAAACAATAATGAACATGAAAGTGTAAAAAATTGTAAAAAAAAAAAAAAAACCTGTTACAATGAGTTTGGTGACTGAAGAACAATTAATACAGTGAAATGGTTTCAACAATGTAATAAAAAACAATAAAGGGAGTGGGGGTTGTTAAATTCAAAAGTTATCTGTACATTTTTTCATAAGGATGACCTAATACTGTGGATCACTAAATTTTCGCGACACCTTATTTTTGCGAGATAGTCATTGACTCTTGATAAGCGAGACAAAATTTTCACAAATTGTGGTTATTGCTCTATATAATCTTAAGGAATACTATTATACCCAAGAACTTAATTTTTGCAAGCACACTGTCTCGCATAATTATGCGAAAATAAAGTTCTCGCGAAGAGAAAGTGATTTTCAGTACTGTAAATACCCATTCATTGTAGATTTTTTTTCAAACAATTTACAATACATAAGTTTACAAATACACAGGAATGTATTTTATAATCCCTAGATAAACCTTTCACTTCATTTTTACATCATGAATATTAATATAAAATCAAAGTACTGAAAGTACTGATAGACGGAGGCTTGGAATGAACATGATTGTTTGTCTCTTTGGGAATTTTTTATTCATATTCTGACCCTAACATTTGCCTAAGGGTAGTTGGCCATATCTTTTGAAAAGTAGATACCAGGACATTAATACTTCATATATCTTTTTTTGTGGAAAGACTTTTCATTGGATATTAACAAACTTGACCTTTTGACCTTGACCTTCGATATTCTATACTTATGAAAAAACTTTAACCTTGGCCATGACTTTTGAATGTTAAGGGATATATAGGGGGGTGGGGGCAACAGTGTTTCACAAACACATCTTCTTCATTTATGTTACCGTGGTCTAATGTTTAATTATGTAATTTACTGAATTCCTATTTTTCATCAAAAGGACAAACCAATCCAATTGCAATAAACTATATCAATTTCAATTCTTTAGTGACTCGTGGTAAGAGCTTCCTGAAATGTGAGAAAGCCAAAAAGTACTTTAGTATCTCTAACTCTTCAGGACTAAAAGGAGCTGAGACACAAGCATTCAGATATAACAATGCATAGATCTACATGCACATTCAACTTTTAATTAATAGTTCTGTTGTGTTGGGTATGAACATAAAGAAGATCCAAATATTTCCAACATTATGAAAAATATGAAGCAGAACAAACGCCTGTTTGGGTGCAGATCTTGAAATGCACTAAGCTCTACAGGTATTTGTTGTCCAGTGCGCATTAATCCTGACTTCCAAAACTGGTGATACCTTTAGAAACATTTGCATCTAGTTGAAAGTTGACTCCGCAAAATATGCCATCCCATTGTTCAAGTTTTATAAAGTGATTACACCGCCTTGACTAGATATTGTGGATTCAACGATACCCTAATATCCAGTATTATACGCGATTTTACCGATAATACCCATTTTCGTTGAAAATCCTTCCCGTTTCAGAGGCGGATCCAGCCACTCTTGAAAGAGGGGTTCCAGGGTTGTACTGTCCATATCACCCCCCCCCCCCATACACACTCTCAAGCAAAGATTCACACACACGTATGGAAGATCTTAGGTTTCGGTAAATAATATCTGTTTACGTCCATTTATTTCTTTGGTCCCCCAGTCCGAATTTAAAGAAAAAATAAAAAAAAACTGCTGAAGCCTTAATTAAAATTGAATGGATTTGCAGCATTTCCAAAGAGTACAAAGAATTTTCTTTTGGAGTTTGAAAAAAAAATCCGTGGTGGATGCAGGTTGGGTTTAAAACAAAGAGTTGCATGTTAGTTCCTTCAAATGATATGATTAAAACGGTTCATATAATATAGAACCGTTTTAATCATATCATTTGAAAGAAAAGTGAGTGGAAGAAAATTAATGTGTGAGAATCTATCTATTCAATACATAAGTTAGACGTACAAATATATGTATTTTTATTTATTCTCGGAAAGCATTTCATTCTCTCTCTCTCTCCACTAGACAGAAAATAACGTGGGCTTCCAATTCCCGGACCCTCCCCCCCCCTCCTCCCTTGGATCCGCCAATGAACCGTTTACAAGCATTCACCCATCCTTGACACTTTTTCAATATCTCTCCAAGGTTTGGGAAATCTAATAAATTCAACTCCTTGCATATATTTTTTGTGGGCATACTTTGAGTCTCTATTGCAGATTCCATGACAACAGTGTTTTATTGCATCCTTTTTTGCACAGGTTAGCCATAATATTACTAAATTTACACCACAAAGTAAGATTCAAGCCACTGTTTTGGTTTTGGTCATGTAAACATAGAAACATGTGGGTCAGTTTGTCCCATCTAACTTCTGAAACATGTGATAAGGAATTCTAAAAATAGATGCAGCAGAGCTATAAACGGACAAGCCGCAGCTCTCTGCTGAGTCAGTGAGTGAACATTTAGAATATGTCAGTTTCAATGAAACAATGATGCAGATTTCTTCTATCTAGGTAATGTAGGGTATTAATGTGATAGGACCTTCGCAAACTAATTAAAATCCCCCAGGTGAGGTGAAAGATGTGAGATAATTATAGGTCCATGAGAAAAAAAAAGAATTATGTATTGTATGTGGAAAATATTGTGACCGAATTAGATTAATTGCATCAAAAGCAGATGCAGAGAACTGCACTCGGTGATCTGTTTTGGTTTCCCTGACAATTTAAATTCTATGTCAGCGAGAGTTTTTATCAGCCAATGAGCGTGTCAGCAGCGGACTCTAAACATTACTGATCACCTGTCTGTATACAGCACATATCCGATATCAGACAGGCAGGCCAGTTTATCAAAGTTTAGCCTGGTTCCCTGTCCCTGTTTTGCTTCATGTACTCCTGCCTTGGAAAGAATGAGCCGGGGGACCAAGCTAATCAAAGTTAACGTGATTAGCCGCTAGATGGCGATCGCAAAATCCCTTCCGCCACAGCTGAGCGGTACCAATAGAGCGGAGGCTAAGCCTCCGTCTAAAAATCATGCAAAATGTAGTGCGCAGCAATCAGAAAAATGGTTAAATGTGATCATGCAACCAATATTCCTAGAAATAGATAAAATGGTGTTGTTAGTGTAAATATCCGTAAATAAAATGGAATCTTTACCATAGGAAAGCATTACATTTCAGATCATATCTTAAAAAATATTTTACGTCATTCAAAGAGAGGAATCTTTTCTGTATAAGGAAACAACAGAATTTATTGGGTATTTTTCTTTATTTATTTTGTATATACTTTTGGATATACATGAAAATCACAGAGAAAATGCAATAAATTATAACAACAGATAACATATACGGTGATCCTAAATTAAAAAATAAAGTGGAGCTTGAAATAATTCAACAGTTTTCCCAATGAAACTGAAAAGTGCCTATTTTTTCTAACAATTTTTTTCATTGCAATTTTCCAACAACCTACTTTAAACAATTTTCAATTTTCCAACAACCAACTTTAGACAATTTTCAATTTTCCAACAACCTACTTTAAACAATTTTCAGAATCTTACTTTATAATAACCCTATGAATGGGCCACAATAACAGTACAGAATTCTATATTTAGTCATTATAGTCTTTAATGACGGGGACCCCTAGTATGGGCCCCTCGTCTGTTTCGGGGGCGTTAATGATCCTCAGGGTATTAGTGTACCCCGAGCCCGACTTCCATCCCGTCACTATGATGATGAAGTCACCCTTTTTGATGAAGTTCCGTTTTCGGCCAAGTGCCATAGCTTTGTAGATTCTCTTATCCATGTCATCTGTCCAAAGCTCCACGCGGGGCTCTATATACAGCACAAAAGCATGATGGGATACACATGAAGCAGACAAGGGAGAAATGAATATCATAAGCATACAGGCAAAAGCATAGTATATGATTTAAAAGCATAAAGGCATGGTATAAGCATACACTAGGAAGCATAGCATTGTACAATAACATCTAGCAAAAGGTGAAGACAAACAGCAAATTATATTAAAATATAGCAGAAAATTATGCATGCATGCAGACTGCAATAAGGAATATGGATGTACAGTATTCCCATATACAAATACCCATATACAACAGAGGCGGATCCAGCAATTTTTGAAAGGGGGGGTTCCAGGGTTGTGTCCCTCAACCCTTCCCCCTTACACACTCTCAGGCAAAGATTCACACACACACACACACACACACATATGGAAAAATATAAGATTGTGGAAAATATTATCTTTGTTCTACGTCCTTCTTTCTTTGAAAAAGTACCCCCAGTCCGTATAAAAAAATTAAAACATTTAAAAAACTACTGAAGCCTTAAAAATTAAATGGATTTGCAGCATTTCCAAAGAGTAGAATGAATTTTCGTAAAGAATTTGAAAATCCTTTTTGAGTTGGGTATAACACAATGAATTAAATTTTAGTTCCTTCATAAGATTTAGGTAAAAAAAAAACCAGCACCTTCTTGTATATAGCCATCATAGCCAAATTAAGATCGCGGGAATCTAATATCAAATTTAACCTCGATGTTACATATCTTATATAAGATATATAAAAATAAGTAGAATATTTTCTACCATTCACTCATAAAAAGTAATAGTGAAGGTGAATGGAAAAACTAAATGTGTGAGAATCTATCTATTCAATACATATCTAAGTTAGACGTACAAATACTTATTCTCGGGAAACGTTTTATCCCCCTTCTTTCTCTCTCTTTCTCCACTTGGCAAAAAATAAAGGGGGGGTTCCAACCCCCGGAACCCCCCCTTCTGGATCTGCCAATGTACAATATTCAGAATTACCCTGATGTGAAAATACTGTAGATTCCTAATTGTACGTGAGGATTTAATTTTTGCGTAATTTCGCGAGAAGCATCACTCGTGAAAAAATATAACTCGCTTTTATTTTTATGGTGTTGAAATCTATGTAAATCCTGTTAATCAACCATCCATTCGCGAATTGTAATTCTCGAGATTAGACGTTAAAGAGCCAGTTCGCGATAAAAAGTACTCACCAAAAATAAGGAATCTACAGTAAACTTACCTGTGTCCCCACAAACCCCCCAAAAAGGATGGGATAATTGATAGGTTCCTTCAGTGTAGCAATAAAACTTTTAAAAAGTTTAACATGATTGTATTTTAAATTTAAACTATCTAAATTTAGGTCTTTACACAAGCTAACACAATGTTCAGTTCATGTGCCAACGTTCCTCGTATTTAAAACAAAGGGTAAGAACTTTATGCTTTGATCTACTGGGAAAAGTGTTCTAATTTGTAGAATCTGTCTGTTCTGATTAATAATATACTGTAAACCAACTTTTATTAGCGTGCGAGAAATTTTCAAGAAGTTCGCGACAGCCTCGTCATCGCGAATATTTCTCGCCGCGAACCAGTTCCTAAAGTCTCTCTGTCTATTTAAAACAGATTGAGAAAGGCTTGATTACGAAAATTAGTCATCGCTAACTAGTTTACCCCTAGTAAAATCGCGAAATAAAGTCGTCGCCAATTAAAGTTGGTTTACAGTATAGCTAAATAAATTTATTTCTAACACTTATTTTATACATCATATTTCAGCAAGCTGAAAGACTTTTGATTTTTATACTGATTGAGCATGATTCAAAAGAAAACACACAGCAAACAGACAATATTTTTTAACATCTACATCTGCTCTACATTTCTAGGTAGTTACAACTTCATGCATGTTGTAACAAGACATCACATAAGTACAACATCTACACTACATACATAACCAACACCACCAGCCCCCTCCTACCCTTTTCAGTATGAAACACCCCCCACATTACTTACCCACAAAGTGGACCCCCCCCCTTCCCTGACTCGACTGAGTACTTATCACATACTGGACCCCCCACCCTCACCCATCCACCCCGCCATTCCTCCTTTTCCCTGTATTGACTGAGTACTTACCCACATAATGGATAGGGAAGATCCCCCTGAAGAGATGACACTGCCTGGCTGTCTGTTCTATCCGTGTGATGGCCAGGATGGGACACCGAGGTCTGTAGGCCGAGATCAGGTGGGCGGATCTAACAAATAAAGAGGTGTGTCAATACATTTAACATTCAGACAATAAAGAAACTGAGATCAGGTGGGCGGATCCAACAGAATAAAGAGGTGTGTCAATACATGTAACATTTCAGACAATATAAATCTTAGAATACAGAAGGATGTAAATATTTGGTAAGTTGGAGACCAAAATGGATACAGAAATTGTTTGTTCTATAAATGTCCAAGAAGAAAGCTCGGGGCATGCCAAATTTCATACTTATGCCACAGATGATACAGACTTTAGAAATGTACTGTACCTTTCTGATTAATTTTCATTTCATACTTATGCCAAAGATGATACAGACTTTAGAACTGTACTGTACCTTCCTGATTAATTTTCATTTCATACTTATGCCAAAGATGATACAGACTTCAGAACTGTACTGTACCTTCCTGATGTTGTGATCACAATAATAGCAGCTGCCATACATTTGAAGGACGCTTCCACTGCTGCTATGGCAACAGTGTGGGTGGCATCTGTGGGGGTGGGGGTCTCTTTACGTAACTCCTCAAACAGCTGATGATGGAAAACAGCTGACTCAGCCTCTCTACAGATCTAAAACAAAATTTTGATATAAATTTATTTTCCTACATGTGATTTCATCTGATCATTTCTACTTTTTAAAACTATAAGGAATGAAAACTCTTTCCTTTAAAGCATGAATTCGTTATCTACTTATCATCCCTTCAATATTTGAAAATATCAGTATTTCAGTAGGGTGAGTTCACCATGCATCGGACACATACCTTGCTTCCGACAACTTAAGAGTTCTGGGTATTTATTTGTTTCTGTCTTAAAGATGAAGATTTAAATTTTGTAGTGATACTGATTGTTATTATCATGTGGTAAAAATACCCCGAGAATGGCCTTGAAGTTACGTCTTATTTTACATCATCAATGGGGATTAACCAGAAAATTTATGCTTTTGCAATTTTTAGAGTTATCATTCTTTAAATTTGACTTCAAAGGAACCAGTCAGACTTCTGTGAATCTTGTAAAAGACTGGCAATTTTACATAAATTTTAAAGAAATTTCACTTCAATGTTCATATAATTCTTTTTAGAGCTGATTTTTACTAGTATGTTCATTTCTCCGTACATCCGACACAAATTAACCATGCATCATCGGACACTTTCCTATGCAAAGGTAAGCTATATCAATTTCATACAGAACCCAACCGACAGCTGTTTTTTGTGGAAATAGAAAATAAAAACTCTATATTTTCAGTCAATATACAAGTTATCAATAAATGAGGTCTAGAATTTGACTTAATTTAATTCTACAAACTAGAGTAGGATAAACCATGAGAAAAAGTTTTAAAGCATTTCTCAGGCAGGGTGAAGTATCTTGAATCTTTCTACATTTGTGCAACAATATCGTCAATTAAATTTAAGTTGAGGGTAATTTCTTATATAAAAGATAAAAATATATCCATACCAAGGACTTTAAAACATTGTGATAAAGGTATGATATTTTTCCGGTCCAAATACTTCTGTCCGATGCATGGTAAATAATATCAGATCCATGGTGAATTCTGGGTTATTTTTAAAAACTCGATTTTTGAGGATATTTTCCCAATAAAAGGCATGTAATTGTTTCCCAAATTTATACTTACTTTAATCACATACTAAATGTGAAGGTCAATTTTGATAATTTTACGTTGGTAGCAATATCGCTAGAACTTGCTGAAGTACAAGGGTGTCCGATGCATGGTGAATTAACCCTATCTTAATTTTTTTTTTTTAACCAACTTTGAATATTTGCTAATTTTCACAAAAATGATTGCATAAAACAATTACCAGAATACATGAATATTTTGTCTAGCTTATAAATAGCTTATAACCTTCTTTTGAAAAAGCATGCCGTCAAAGGTAACTGG